ACCGGAAATTACCGGGAAATTACCGGGAAATTACCGGGAAACTACCGGGAAATGGGAAATGGGAAATGGGAAATGGGAACGGGAACGGGAAACGGGAACAGGAAACGGGAACGGGAACCGGGGAACCCGGAAACGGGAAACGGGAACCAGGAACGGGAACGGGAACGGAAAACAGGAAATGGGAAATGGGAAATGGGAAACGGGAAACGGGAAACGGGAACGGGAAATGGGAAACGGGAAACAGGAAACGGGAAACGGGAACGGGAACTGGGAAATGGGAAACGGGAAACGGGAAATGGGAAATGGGAAACGGGAACGGGAAATGGGAAACGGGAAATGGGAAACGGGAACAGGGAACCAGGAAGGGGAACGGGAACGGGAAACAGGAAATGGGAAATGGGAAATGGGAAATGGGGGAAACGGGAACTGGGAACCGGGAAACGGGAACTGGGGGGAACTGGGAAATGGGAACTGGAACGGGAAATGGAAAATGGGAAACAGGAAATGGGGGAAACGGGAACTGGGAAACGGGAACTGGGGAAAGGGAAACGGGAACAGGGAAACGGGAAACGGGAAACGGGAACAGGAACGGGAACGGGAACGGGAACCAGGAAATGGGAAACGGGAAATGGGAACGGGAAACGGGAAACGGGAAACGGGAAACGGGAATTGGGAAGTGGGAAATGGGAACTGGGAAACAGGGAACGGGAAACAGGAAATGGGAACGGGAAATGAGAACCAGGAAACGAGAAACAGGAAACGAGAAACAGGAACCGGGAAACGGGAACCGGGAACTGGGAAACAGGAAATGGGAACCGGGAAACGAGAAACAGGAACCGGGCACCGGGCACTGGGGGGCAGCGGGGGTCAGCGGGCACCGGGGGGGGTCGGGTTTGGGGTCGGGTTTGGGGTCGGGTTTGGGTGTGGGGTCACTGCTGGGGTCGGTTTGGGGTCACTTGGGATGTCCTGGGGTCACTTAGGGGTCACTGGTGGGGTTTGGGGTCACTGGTGGGTCACTGGTGGGGTTTGGGGTCACTGGTGGGTCACTGGTGGGGTGTGGGGGTCACTGGTGGGGTCGGTTTGGGGTCACTTATGGGTCACTGGTGGGGTTTGGGGTCACTGGTGGGGCAGTTCTGGGGTCACTTATGGGTCACTCGTGGGTCACTGGTGGGGTGTGGGGGTCACTGGTGGGGCTTTAGGGTCAGTTTTGGGGTCGGTTTGGGGTCACTTATGGGTCACTTTTGGGGTTTTGGGGTCACTTGTGGGTCATTTGTGGGTCACTGATGGGGTTTGGGGGTCACTTAGGGGTCACTGGTGGTGTTTGGGGTCACTGGTGGGGTTTGGGGTCACTTATGGGTCACTGATGGGGTTTGGGGTCACTTTTGGGGTTTTTGGGGTCACTTATGGGTCACTCGTGGGTCACTTGTGGGGTGTGGGGGTCACTCGTGGGTCACTGATGGGGTTTGGGGTCACTCGTGGGGTTTGGGGTCACTTTTGGGGTTTTTGGGGTCACTTATGGGTCACTCGTGGGGCACTGGTGGGGTTTGGGGTCACTCGTGGGTCACTGGTGGGTCACTGATGGGTTTTTGGTGTCCCGCGTGGGCAGGGAGCCGTGGGGGGACAGGATCTGTGGGGCAGTTTGGGGGTCAGTGATGGTGTGGGGTCCCCCGTGGGTCCCGCGTGGGTCACGGATATCCCGCGTGGGCAGGGAGCCGTGGCGGGACGGGAACTGTGAGGCCGCGCTGCGCTGCGTGGCGGGACGGGACGGGATCTGTGGGGCAGTTTGGGGGTCACTGATGGTGTGGGGTGCCCCGTGGGTCACCCGTGGGTCACGGATGTCACGCGTGGGTCTCTGGTGTCCAGGGAGCCGTGGCGGGACGGGATCTGTGGGGCAGTTTGGGGGTCAGTGACGGTGTGGGGTGCCCCGTGGGTCCCCCGTGGGTCACGGATGTCACGCGTGGGCAGGGAGCCGTGGCGGGACGGGAACTGCGAGGCCGCGCTGCGCTGCGTGGCGGGACGGGACGGGATCTGTGGGGCAGTTTGGGGGTCCCCCGTGGGTCACTGATGTCACCCGTGGGTTTTTGGTGTCCCGCGTGGGCAGGGAGCCGTGGCGGGACGGGAACTGCGAGGCCGCGCTGCGCTGCGTGGCGCTGGCGGCGGCCGCGGGCCCCGAGCCGGCGATGCAGCTGAAGCTGACGGCGCTGCTGAGCCCGCGGCTCTGCGTGAGCGGGGGGGATTTGGGATCCGTGGGGCGGGATCTGTGGGGCGGGATTGGGATCTGTGGGGCGGGATTGGGATC